GCACTGTGGACATGGCATAGGAAACAACTTGATGGTGTGAAGAATTCTATTCCAACACATTTCCAAACGCATACTGCAACAAGAAGACACTTCATATATCCGTTCAGATGAATTCATCCAAGCTTACACATTCCAACTGATGTCACTGAAATGGAGACTTTTTAAATATTTGGTAAGAAACCTTTGACTTCAGTGTGAAATGGCATAAGAGGCATCGAGTACAGGTAGGAAAGCAGCCTCGTGGCTTCATGCATCAAATTTCATCTTGGCTGCATCCCTGAATTGAAATGTGGCTTACCTTTTGCCTTGGGTTTGGAGGCTAAAAAAAGAGTCTAATAGACAATACCATACTTCCCCCTTTTGGCTGCAGAATTACCTTAAGGGACTATCACAACCAGACAGAATAACTATTGATCAAGCCACAATCACTTTCAAATGGAGTTCTTCCTTAGGGGATCAGTATCTATAAGGAAATCTGGAGGCTTGTCCCCAAAGTGTCTTTGGAGCTCATTGTGGGAGGTGCAGACCAAAGGTGAGTTTACACATCGGTGACTAAAGTTTCCTGTCACTGAGCATAAGAAGTCACTCAGGAGCAGCGTCCCTAAACCACAGCTACAGGATGTGGGCACAAGCCCTTGTATAATTGTTGGCCAAAAGCCAGGAAGCATTCATCCCTGTGCAAATACTTGGGCTTTTTTTGTGTGTGTGTTGTTGTTCTTAACCTTTGAAAACCACAGGCATTAGCCTCTTTCTTTCTTCCCCTTGGCATAAGTCATCGTCTTTTCTCTAACGTGGTCTCTTGTGTGTAAAGAATTTCTAAGGAGCTTTTAAGCCTAAATTTAATACTTTTGCCCTCTCTCTGCTGCCCTACAAAATGCCAGGTAGAGGTAAAACAACCTCAGAAAACATCTGCTGGCTCTGCTAGCTTCCGCAGCTTTGTTAGGAGGTTTTCATCAGATAGGAAGTCAGAGAGTTCCATGAGTGACCTTAGCCTTTAAGAAAATAAAGGTAATTTCTGGAAATCCCCCCCACCAAACAACTGTGCCCTATTGTTTTCTCACTTTAGAATTAACCCAGCTGTGTGATACAAGGATCACAATGAAATCGTCTCTGGGACTGGAGGTGCTTTATTGGACAAAGCAGCAGATCAAAAATGGGAACTCAAAAATTGAGTCCAATTCCAGTGTTGCCAAGAATTTACTATCTTTTTTAAGCATTTTTTTCTAGTTTCTAGGCCCATGCTTCATGTTCTATGAAATGAAAGCATTGGTTTGGCAGGTTTCTAGCCTTCCTTAGCCCCAGGGCTCTGTAAAGTGGCTCCTTGAGTAATATTTCAACAAAGGGTCCATGAAACTGGGTCTCAAAGCAAAGGATCTGGAAGCAGCCAACACATAAGCCAGTTTCTAGTTTGTTCTTTCTGTGTTAAAGGATGGGCACAAGCTTGGGCACCCAAGTGTCCAACTGATGGGAGATGTTATTATGTATATATGTTTCTCATACTGGTTAATGAATAAAGCACTGTTGGCCAATAGAAAAGGAAGATAGGATGGATTAGGAGACAAGGAGGAAAGAGGAAGTAGGGAGGAGGAGTCAAGATGGAGAGTCTGGAGAAGTTAGAATCGCCAGTCGCCTCTCCCTGGTAAGACCACATGGAAATACATAGAAATGGGTTAATAATTAAGACAGACCTAGCCTATAAGAAAGTAGTACCTGGCCAACAGCATTATATCAAATACAGAGTCTCTGTGCATTAATTGGGGCTGGCGCAGTGGCAGGACAAGACCAGCGGCGGGCAGAAAAAACTTACTCCATCAACAGTTACTAGCCCTTCCTCATAAACTAAGAAATGTGACAGCCTTACTTTTGTTTCCAAATGCCCTCATGCTGACATGGACAGTTAATCTATCCTATATCAGTCCTCATGTTTTTAAGTGAAAGAGCTGGCAGGTGAACACAGCTTTTTTTTAAGTCAATAGAAGTAGATTTTTTTTTCTGAAAAACATTAGAAGACTATAAGGGTTCTGCCAATGGGAATTCAAGCAGATTCTGAAATAAGCCTTATTAGAAATTCTGTATTGGGAAACACTGGAAGAAACAAAGACCAGGTGTAAAGACCACCAAGCATCACAGGTTTCTGGTGATGTTTTAGTTTGAAGGTTCTTGTATTCAGTTCAGTTCAAATTAGACTGATGATTCCCATTTTGGGAATGTTAGTGAAGATTTCAGACTCCAGAGTGACGACTAGAAAAAGCCAATAAGGCTCCTCTGGTTTGTGGAGCATAAGGACAAAGAACCTAGTGAGAATACCACATATCAGCTAATAGCAGCTTCATGTGACAAAGAACAAATTCCCATTGGGAACTTAATTGAGTTATCCCAGATGCTGTCCCATGGTTTTCAACAGAAGAAGCTTTATATAGGTAAAATTCCATGTTTTCTGTGTCAATGACACCATGTAACTGGGGCTCCACATCTGAGAAACAAGCATAAACAGTCCCCTGTTTGGATATTAGAAAATTAAGTATTAGGAGGGTTAAAGTAATTTTGGGGGGAACTCACAGGACTGATCCAGTTCTTTCCAAAACAGGTCTCTAATTACCTGAATATTTAGCAACAGTTAGTTTTCAAGTAACAGGCCCATTACCTTTAAGGACAATATCAACTTTTGAGATATTGTACTACACCCATGCCATTCCTAGTGTACATGGTTTCTAGTCATCTTTGTATCAAGTGAGTTGGGGCTCCATTCTTCAAGAAGTAACCCTTCAGTGTCTGAATATTCAACACAGAGAAGATAGATGTTGTTTCTTACCTTGAAATGATACTCAAATTCCTAAGTCCCCTTACTTAGTGGATAACCCTGCTTTGTAGATCCCATTTATTAGCTACTCAACTACCCTGTCCAAATGTCTTTAGAGGAGGTTTGCAGGTTTCATCATAGGCAAAACAGATACCAGATCTCAGCATTAAACAGCCTGCCCTCCTGTCCTCCATTTTGGGTAGCTTCAGTTAAAGATGCTATACTGTGTCTTATAGAACGTCACTTAGGAACTTCTGACTGAGTTTTCCAGAAGGGACAGACACACACAGGGACATCTATCATCAGGAAAATCCTTAAATGGTAACTCGAGTGAATAAGCTGGGCATTTCAGAGACTTCTGCCAGTAAATGCCACTGCCTGGAGGCATATGGGGATTTTCAGGCAACAATATTAAAATAATTTGCCAATAATGCCTGCTTCAGAAGTGCTGCCAAAGCAACTGAATGACTTTTCATCCCACTACTGTTGACAGGACAGCTAAGGATTTCAACATTTCCTCTCACTGTCTCAATAGAAGTTCCTTGCCTTAGGGACTTGAACAATATTTGCCATCATGGGGGAAGAGGTAGGTGTGACAAAGAGGGATGAAGGGAGGAATAAAATAGTAATGGAAGTAAACAAAATGAAATGAGGGCTATTCAAGCTCTGGTTTTGAATGTGTGTACCAATTTGATAACTGCCTGTTCCCAGGTCTTTGCCTCTGAGGAAGAAAGCTTTCTAAAAAAAAAAAAAAAAAAAAAAAAAAAAAAAAAAAAGCAGTGTAAAAGTAAACTTCAGAGGAGCCAAGAGGTAAAATAGCTGGAACTTTTAACCTTAGCATCAAGGCAAGTATCTCAACTTTGGGTCTCAGGAGAGGCAAAAGCTTTCTGTAATAATGTTTCCAGTGACCAGTATTCAGGGCTATTAAGTTAAATAAATGTAAGATTTACAATTTTAAAGAGGAAGTAACAAAAAAAATGAAATACTGTCCTGGGTTGTTCCAAGTCAGAGCTAAGTCAGGAGGACACAAGAAGAAATACAAGGAAAAAAACATGAGCATGAAATGAATAAGACAGTGTTAAGAAATCAAGCCCTCAAAAGTCTGTGAGACCGTGAGCCTAATAAAGCAGAAAGTCAGTCCCAGCCCCACAGTAACCACAGGACTCTTGCTTTTTCTGTGTCCTATACATACTCTGACAAAAGATTTCTCTAGGAGAAGATATGCTGTTAAAATCTACTTGAAAAAATGCTGTAAAATGGAACGAGCTATTGAACAGTATTGAGCAACTGTAAAGTACTATGAACAAATTGTGCTTTAGGAACTGACAGTGAGGTGAATGAGTAATTGAAAAGCCTGCAAGGAGGGATCCTAATTAAGAGACCATGTTAACAATTGAAGACTTGGCCCCACACCGTCAGTGAAAGAAGGAATTGAGACAGAAGCTGTGGGTGATTTTTGGTATTTGATTTTTTTTTCTTTTCAATGCTAGGAATCAAACCCAAGACTTTGTACAGTTTGGGCAAACTCTATGCTAATGAGTTATACCTCTAGTCTTAAGAGAATGTATTTTAAGATCGGATACAATACTATGCCACATAGCCATGCGTTACTACAATGGGATGCATTTGGCTTAGAAGTCTAACCCATTGAAACTGATAGGTATCAGGGATGGATTATACAAAATAGCCCAGAGAAATCTGGATTTGGAAAATGTGTAATGCAAGGGAGCATTGGAAGACTGACATAGGGATGACTGGAAGACAAAAGGCAGAGCCTGCATCTTGGGATAAATATCAGAGATGGCACTAGGGACTAAAATGTCCTCATAAATGGCAGCTAGAATACTGGAGCTCTGAGAGCATAATGAGAATAAAACAGGGTTCGGGGCATGAAAACTAAAATGCTGAAAGTACCTGTGGATGTGAGGAACCGAAAAGCAAAAGTTTAAATGTTAGCAAATTTAAATTTAAGTTGTAGCATGGGGATTCTGTCCAGAGATTTTCAAGTAGGTGCTCATTAGATAACATTTCATAAGCTCAGAAGTACCTAGTGTGATTTTACAGAAATGTGATTTCTTTCATATAAGACCTCAAGTGTCCACCAGTCTAATCAAGATTTTAGACATCTTAAAACACTAATCAATCGGTCATTTAAATATTATTTGAAAGTAACTATTGTAATCCAAAAGAAAGTAGTGGATTTAAACACATCAGTTATCTACAGATGATGGACTTTGCAACAAAGAGTCTCAAAAGCCAATACTCCCCCGAGCAAGGGAATAGCCAAGTTTGTTTCGGTTTCCAATGAATGACATGAGCCCGGTGTAGGTCTCAATCAGGATAGGCTGGGCTAACACCATCAATTCCTCTCCTCTTCCAGATCCAGCAGAATTCTTGTGAGCACTCTGGACAGCTGGAACAAGCTTCGATGTGAACCCAGACAACTGAAGAACGAAAAGGAAAAGCATAAAGTTAGTGATTCCAGGAAGCTCCTGAACATCCCGACCCAGTCAGACCTGATGGGGTAGACCACTCTGTTGGGGGCAGCAACTCTTACGTCTTAAACATGAATGACTCCTCAGAAAGGTTGGAATGGCTTTTGTTTAACCTTTAATATAGTACTCAGCCAAAAAAAAGAATACACATAGTAAAATTATCTGCCTTATTTGTTTTTCATTATTCATAACTTGTACAACATTCAAGAATCAACTTAACCAATATTTGCTCATAGTCTACTACAAATTAGATATTTATTGGATACTTATTGGACACTGCTGAATGCTGAAGGCCAGATATGAACAACTGCTACCCTCAAAGACAACTGACTATTATGTAGTCGACAAAATACACCTGCCGTAGTAATGAAAAGTTCGTTATACCCAGCAGGAAAAGAGGCAGAAACACATGTGAAGAACCATGGCAAAAGGAGGTCCTCAGGCAATCTTGAAAGATTAGCAATATTTCCACGGGAAGAACTGAGATTTAGCAAGTCAGAAAAGAACGAGAGACCGGTGATATGTCTTCCAGCTCAGCCCCCATCCTGTCCCATGGAAATCCTTAGGAAAAATCCATGCCTCTCATTACTACAAAGGTACAGACAGAAAATACTGAATCCCCTAATTTCAAACCATGCTCCTTAAGCATAATACTTGAGGGGCAACATGGAACTTCTGTTACTGGCTTTCTTTTCTTTATTTTTTTCTTTTTTGAGAACTACATACACAAATTTTTCATCTGCATCACTCCTGTCCCCCATAGTTCCCAAACTCCTCTCATGCTTCCTCCTTCCTCCTAATTCATGACCTCTTCTTTAATTACTATTGTTACACACACATACACATATATGTACACACACACACACACACACACACACACACACACACACAAAATTTATGGAGTCCATTTAGCACTGTCTAAATTTCCTCCTATCCATGTCAGCATGTCACCGATATCATTATGCAGGTCATGTTAAGGAAACCATATTGTTGAAACTTCATGCATGCACACTTCCTACCATGTCTAAAAGATACTCACTGGAACCAGGCATCCTGGTCAGCTGGCTCTCACAGACTTTCTGATCCTCTTTCTCAATGTTCCCCAAACCCTAGGTGTGTGGGTTGTGTTGCAGATGTCTGAACTGGGGTTGAGCATCTTTCCATTTTGGCCAGTTGTGAGTCTCTGTAAAAGTCTCCATCAACTCCAAGAAGAAGCTACTTTGATGAGAGGTGAGAACTACACTTTCATGTGGCTATAAGGATGAGTGCTTATAATTCAGTGACAAATCACTCTTGGGAAAAGCGAATAGGCATGAGTATTAATAATGTTGGTTTAATAGGTGATTCTGGGCTAGAGAAAAAATATATATAAGCCAACCAGGTAATCTGCTCCAATTCCTTCACTCAAATCAATGGGATATTCTTATTCCTTTCACTATACTTAGAGTCAGATTTTACTTTAAAAAAAAATGTATTAACGAAATCATTGAACTGCCACCTAACTTGCAGTTAGTAAGTTGTAGTTTTCACTTTCCTCTCATCTTTCAAAACCAAGTTCAAGGCTCCCACTTGCCTGATGCCTCCCTGCATAGCCAATGAAAAATGTTCTTTTCTTCTAATACTGAAGTGTTTGATGTGTAAGCAATTAGAAGCATTTGCAGCTCTTGCAGAGAACCTGGGTTGAGTTCCTAGCACCCACAAGGTGGCTCACAACCATCTCTAACTCTAATTGCAGAGAATTCTACACTCTTCTGGCATCCAACAGCACTATGGTGTGCAGAGACATGTGAGCAAAACACTTACATACATAAAATAAAAATAAATAATTTAAAATAATAATAATATCTTTTTTCTATTGCATTTCACTGATATCTCCATTTAAATATATTAAAAGGTTTTCGAGGCGGAGTTGCAAGTGTGGCCTTGTAAGTGGAGGTTTTTGTCCCATCTGGTTCCACAGGTGCTTTGCCCCAATAAATGCACAGATGCTATATTAATTATAAAACTATTTGCCAATGGCTAGGGCTTCTTATTAACTATTAATTATTAACCCATTTATATTAATTTATGTATTGCTATAAGGCTGTAGCTTACCCATAATCCAGCATGTTACTCCTTGGGCAGTATGGTGTCTCTCCGCAGCCCCTTTCTGCCTTCCTCTCCCCAGCCTTCCCCTGGTCTGCCTATACTTTTTTGCCTGGCTCTTAGCCAATCAGTGTTTTATTCATCAACCAGTAAGAGAAACATGTATACAGAAGGACATCCCCATCATGTCCTTTACATAGTAAGCTATCACAAAGCTATTACTACCTGATACTCAAATGTAGTTTTACTATGGGGGAGAATATTTTTTACAGCTTAAGTACACAACATACTTTGTAACATCTATCCCTCAGGCACCTATAGGATTTCTGTTGCACAAAAGTCTTATTCTAATATCTGTTCCCATCCTATCCCCCTCCAACCTTCCCCCTCTGACAACATGCATGCGTATAATACATACATACATACATACATTTATACATACAAACACAACACACACACACACTTTACATTCCACATATTCTTACTCATTATCTAAGAATATTTCATATAGCTTTGTAATTTGTAGCTTTTTTTGTCATGTTTCCTTTGCTTAAAATGTCTTATCTTGCCTTAGCTCTAGAATTTTGGGACAATCAAAAGGAGACATAGCTAAATATCCTTTAGCAATCCAAAGCCTCTTCCTTTTAAAATATGGGGTGGCACATGTTTGCAATCCCAACATTCAGGAGACATAGGACAGGAGGAGGAAAAGCTCAAGGACAGCTTCAGCTGTGTACCAAGACCCTATCTCATTAAGAAAGACTCACTGAACTACAGAATACTCAGCTACACAATGCATATAACCTGGAGTACTGGGACTAGATAGAGGTTAAGTTACAAACAAGGCACTCAACAGCTGTGTGCCCTTGGGTAAATTATTAAGCCTCCCCTAAAAATGAGCATACTGATAATATCAAGTTTATAGGTAAAACAAGTGAGAGAGAGGATGGTTATGTGCTCATATATAACAGTAGGGGCCAGGACATGCAAAGAGATAAGGCTGGTATTTAGAATCACTGCAAAAAACATCAAGTAGTTTGTTTCTTGCAAACAATAAATATTAGCTCTTTCATCATCACTACCAGCATCATCATCAAGAAATCACAGTCTCCTAAAAGGTAAAGCACAATTATCTCAACCTTTCCATTTGCCAAGACTATCTGGATTAATGTAATGCCTTCTCAGAGGTCAAAGTTTGTCAAACTGGATTACTGAACACTTTTTCAGCTCTCATTGTAAGCGTCATTTCTTGAGAATCCCCTGTGGTCTCAGAATCTAAGTGCTGGAAAGAAAATATTGACACTATTTCAAACTCAATGCACTGCATTTCATTGGATACAATTCATTCTCAGTCATGTCTGGAACATTCTCAAAGCAGGGAGGCATGCTTACAGAGACAAACTGCTCCTTAAAGGAGTGGCAGACAAAAGGCCACGTCCCCAAGCTGGCTCTTGAGCATTTCAAGCACCTGAACTCAATCTATGTGACAGGAACGCTGTGTCATCTGATATGAATGCCACCAGCCACATACTTTTGTCTAAAAGCTTTTATACACCCACCTCTGTCTCCTGCTTTTATTTCTGTCTCAAAAACAGAGGGTCAAGTTTTAACAACTCCAGTTACACAGGGGCCGTGTGCTGGTTCGGGTGAAGCATGCACGGTAGTGTTCATGGAGGAGGGGTGTAGTGTTCTTGACTTTACAGCAATTATTTACCAGCTGAGTGCCTGGGCCCCTGGTTGCTTCAGGTGTTGTCTGCCAGCAGTTCCCGCCTAGAGTCTCAGTTTTCTGTATTACAACCATCACTTGCTTCCTGTTTATACTGGGCAAAGAGGCCAGGTTTCATGCCTGCAGGCCCACATTCCTCAGCTTGGCAAGTTTTCCTAGCCTTGGGGCCATGGGTTTCAACCTTTCTCTGTGGAGAGGGAGGCACCCTGTGATGAAGAGCAAATCAACATCCAATACAGAAGATGTAAAACCTTTTGGCAAGCTACAGTGCTTGTCAAAATGCACGGTATCCATGCCCATTTTCTCTGGAATTCTCCGTTGCTTTGTACAGACCCTGCAAATGGGGATAATCCAAAGTGTATAGAGAAAACAAAGAGGATGGGACAGAAGTTTCTTTTCTACACACGATGCCCCACTTATTCTTTCTTTCTCATCCTATCAACTCCAACTCTGTGTTCTGAAAACTACACACACACACACACACACACAGAGAGAGAGAGAGAGAGAGAGAGAGAGAGGAAGAGAGTCCTTTAGTTTTATACCCAGCTCCATGAATATTAGTAACTATTAAGGTATAAATGAATGGTTCATTTAATGTATGGTTCATTTACTTAATCATTGCGCTTAAGTGTCCTGACTTTTACAAAGAAGATATTTATTCCTATTTTAGATGTGTTGGTAGTTGATTTACATGACAATATCACTCATACCGCAAGCAATAAAGTGATATAGCATGTGGGATTATTTTTGTGTACTATGCAAGTATGTTAATGGTGAAATAATCTAGGATCTTACACTCTCAGCGTTGTGTAATGTGAGTAGTACAGAGTATGGTACATGTGCAGATTTGAAAAAAATCCAAGGTAGGCAGGGATGGTGGACTTCTGGAAAGAAGCTGTTTGAACCCCATGTTTGCAGGATGTGGAAGTGACCACACTGCTCATGGGTAACACATGATAGAAACTCGACATTAGTAGGTACAGTTTACAGATAGCATAAACTTGAGTTTGAACACATGTGTATATTAATACTTCTCTCTCAAGTACCTTCATAAACTACCCTAGTAGTTCAGCCTTAGTACAGGATCATCTGATCTGAAATGTTTCTCTCCACTTCAATTTTCTCTATGGCAATTCAGACCAAAAGTTCTAACCATCTAACTACTTTATAGATGTTTCAAGCATTATATCTCATAAGCTAAACTAATTCCTCACATTTATGGTTATTACCATTCAGATTAAGGTCATCACCATCTAACCACCCAGGAACTACCTCAGCCTAACTTCTCTGTCATTTTCTGCATCATATCAGTCGTGTGCTTTTATTAACTCCCTGATGAGTAATTCAAAATGTCCTTACTCTCTACTATTACTACAACTTACTTGGGCTCTTATATTTACTATCTAAGTCATTATATATATTCATATTTGGGAACTATGTAAAGTTACACACCAGCTAAACTACTTTTTCTCTGTGGACAGTATATATACTTTTATTGACTTCCATTCTTTTTCACTGGAATCAAACTTGCATTTTAGTCCATTGGTTTCCATTCTTAAATCTTTGCATGTTTACTTGTTGCTTCTGACAAACACTGCCTTGCACATGGCTCAAATATTATCTCATTACATTTGTGTCCTTAGCAATAAGTGTATCAGCATTCTGTGGGTGTCAGAAAATGTTCAGTGAATGCAGAGATTATTTTTTGTTTGTTTGTTTCTTTTGTTTTTTTTCAAGACAGGGTTTGTCTGTATTGCTTTGGAGCCTGTCAAGAAACTAGCTCTGTAGACCACACTGGTCTCAAACTCACAGAGATCTGCCTGCCTCTGCCCTCACCCCCCTCCCAGGTGCAGGGACTAAAGCTGAATGCAGAGATTCTAAGAGAAATACTCTGGGAAAGTATGAGCTTGATATTTTTTAAAAAAAATAATAAGTTGTTTCTTTAGCTTATAAGTAATTTGAACATTTTGATTGTGTAATCAGCTTCATAGTTTCTCTCCCCTGTGCCACAATGTTTGCAAAACCAAGTTGAATTGCTTCTTGACTTTGATTTAGTTATGCATTTCTCCTATTTTTCCTCTATGTTATTAATAAGAGAAATTGAAAAACTATCTCAACCCTTTAAAAAGCTCATTCCATGAAAATATTCAAATAAGCCATATTCAGGATTCACCTAAGAAAACCTATTCAAATTTCCTATACCATGTTTGTATAGCAAAGCCTTAATCAGACTCAGTCCTGGAATAAGCCTTACTAACATATACTATTATAACATATAAGTCAACAACAAAAAGTAGCTAAGACTTGGGGACATAGGTCAAAGGTTTACTCATATCATATCCCAGATGGAGACCATTTGCTTTCCTAGAGAGCTTCCTTTGGGATGATCTTTGAATAAGAATTGGCTTTAGCAAATGAAAGTTCCAGGCTGGTGCCAGGAAGGAGAAGAAAGAAAGGGAGGAAGGAAGAAAGGAGGGAAGGAAGGGAGGAAGGAAGGAAGGAAGGAAGGAAGGAAGGAAGGAAGGAAGGAGAGAGACAGACCTTTGACTAATAATTTAAAAAGAAATGATCTTGCAATGGTTTTTCTAACCATGTTCTAAACTCATCCCTCTAGATCGTGCCCTAAGAAATGTCCCCTTTGGTCATCGTTCATTCTATTCCTTGAAGAAACTTCCCTCTTTGCTCCATGAGAAATTCTGTCAATCTTCTATATACTCATATAAAGAAACAAAAAAAAAAAACACATTCAACAGTAATATGACTGACTAAAAATCAACTAATATTCATTATAATTTTACACACATGTACACACACACACACACATATACACACACACTCTCATTGGAAGTTCTATTGCTAAACACAGTGCTTTAGTCTAGCAACTACATTCATAAATACTTAGGCAATGATTCAAACTCCCTTTAATATTTCACCTTTCATGTTCTTTGAAAAAAATATTTGATTGCATCTGTATGATCTGTATGTAGAAGACTAAAACAAAGTACTATCAAGCCATCGCATTTCTCTGTAACACACAGAACTTAGTCCTTAATCATTCATTGTGAACTTCTTCCAGCAAAGGCCATTCAGAAATAAGTACCTAGTGTATCCGGTACAAGGAACAAGAGAAGGCTTGTCCCAGGGAGTGACATGTGTAATAACTAAGTCACTTAAGTATTTGTATTGGCTAATAGTGAAGTTCAACTATTAACACAAAAATATATATCATTTTAGTGATTAAAAACAGTTTTCCTCTAAAAAAAAAAGAAAAAGAAAATTCCCATGAGAAAATTCATTATTTTACATTTTAGTCTGGATTAACAGGTATCTTAATAAATGTTTTCCATTGCAACTAATAATAACAATGAGAAATGGGAGTTTGGGGAGGGTGTGGGCTGAAGAGGACAGAAAGTATGATGGAGGCATGTGCATTTTTACTCATAAGGACTTTTGAACAGGAGGGGACTGCTATCACATTTGAAGATGGACACTTTAGTTAAATACACACTCTCCCTCTGTCTCTCAACAACCTCCGCCCCCAATCTGTTCCTATTGCTTAGCTTAGTGGAAGTGGGTTTGTGCTGGTCTTGCTTTTCACTTTGGTTTTGTTGGCTTTACGTGGTAAAGCGTCAGCCTAGGAGCTTCTGCTGATGGCTTGGTTGGGGGATTGTGAAATGGGTATCACATGAAGTGTAGTAACATGATCCTTGTACTAATTCAGTGTCTGCAATAGTTGGAGGCTGAGACCATGAAACTATGACCTCTGAGGAGACCTGCATGAATCCCAAAAGGATCACCAACTTTTCCAGGGAGTAGAGCATAGCACAGCCAATGTATCTGTTCATTAGGGAGAAATAACACGCCATCTAGCTTTTAATCACAGACAGCTTACCTCAAGGGCACTTAACAGTTATTTGTTTATAGCACACAGATGTACTTGTATAAATAAGTATGTGTATATTAATGTGAGAATTTTAACATGCAGGACTCCAGACACTGTCAAGTTTTTAAATTTTACTAAATGAATTAGAATATTTTAAAGTAAAAGGCACATGTTAAGGTAAATACTAAAAAAGTACAGAAAAGACAACAAATCCTGAGTCTATGTGCACACACCCATGTGTGTATTTGGTTTTGTGACAATAGTTTGATTTTTCACCAAATTTTCAACTCCCACTGGTTTACTTTCTAACTATGTAAAGTGTCCCTGAACTTTAGTATTTCATCTATATATAAATAGATTAACCCAATTGAAGTTATAGCAAATCACATTAATTGTTTGAATTATAGTATTTGAAATGTTGAGCTTGAATGATTTCTTGATGGGTGGCTGCTTTTAGGCCAACCACGGTTTAACATCTTAAGATTTATTCACTATTTAAGCTTGTTCCCATTCATAAAGAGCTCCCCCTCTGTGGGCTACTAGAAGCAATGAGAGAATAGCACTATTCCTCTCCCCAAAGAGCTAAATGTCTCCTTGAAAGGATAAAAATGGAGGCATAAAAAGAAACACGATGACTTTGTGATGTATGGAGCATTTGGACATGCTGTCCATTTGAATGGATAACAGTTCCGTGAGATCTGAATATCCACCTCAGTCCACCAACACCATCCCATGGAAATAAATGACTTCATATTATATGATCACAGAGCCAGTACGAAAAAAACATAATTCACACTATTCCACATTTCTTCCCAGAATAAGGCAACTAAGATGAACCTATATAGAGAACATCACATTTACCATCTTGTAATAAATATAGCTAGTCAAACATAAGTACTGTAATTTGTTATAATATTCTATTAAAAGATGATATCAAGAAGGAAGAGGCACATTATGGTTACATAAATATAATTTATGACATCTATGAAATAACTATACTTTTCATATAAGTGTTTAAAGAGGCATTAAATTTTTTATCTACTCACCTTCAGGTCTTAACAGTTTTTAAGGTAGAACTTGTTCTAGAAGCACAGTCTCACCAAAAGAGCTAATATGGGACAAGGTACTACCTACCTTGCAAATCTCAAGGAACTTCTCACTGGTGTACTTCATAGGGTGCTCAGTGAAGGTTGTATAGGGAACCTCTGTGGACCATGGGTTCCAGCGTGACAACAGAGTCTGCCCCTCTGTGCTCCCCCAGCAAATCCTAAGGCCTTCTCCTGGTCTCCTAAAGGGAGGAGATTTTTATTAGATTGGACATTTCTGTTAGATATGTTGTGGAATATTTGATCACACTGCATGAAAGGCACCTTCTGATTCATTTAATAAAGAGCTCAATGGTCAATGCTAGGCAGAAGAGAATAAGTGGGACTTCCTGGGAAAAGGAAGAACTCTAGACATCAGTGAGATGAAGCAAGTAAGACATACAGAGTGGGAAAGGGGTAAAAGCCATGTGGCAGAACACAGATTAAGAGAAACAGGTTTCTTCGAATCCCCCAAGACAGCGCCCCTTACCAGCAGGAAGTAGTTTGGAAAGAACGACGCCCAAATTCCCAAATATTGTGTATAAATGTTTGTTTTCATTTAATTGGACTTTGTTATATAAAATTAAATATATATATATATATATATATATATATATATATATAAAGAGAAACAGGTTAATGTAAGTTATAGAGCTAGTTAAGAACAAGCCTCAGCTAAAGGCCAAGATTTCAATATTAATAATAAGTCTCACTATCACTATTTGGGGGTTGGAAGCTAACAAGAAAGTTTGACTACATACATAAATCAACAAGAAAAATGTAGCAAAAGACTGTAACTCTCCACTTGATCAGTCTATTTCCACGAGGTGAGTGGCTTACTTCAAATCAGACTGTTAAGAAATGTAAACAAACGGACTTGCCCTCAAACAGGGTAGGTCCAAGAAGTTGTTGAGAATCCATATGGAAATGTGACCCTGGTGCTCAGGCCAACAGCCAGTGCTGGAATATACAGAAGCTTGCCTCATGGTGACATCTTGGTGATGGAAGGTAAGGATGAGAAACAGTCTCAGTGACAGAGGAGATGACAAGATGAGAAGCCATCATTTAAACAGAGAAGTGAACAGAAGAAGAACTGCGAGAACATAAGATGGATAGGACATCTGCAACCTTTGAGACAGAGGAAGACCATTCAAAATGTTCAGATTCCTAAGTCACTGACTCTTCTTCTGTGTCTCCCTGTCCTCTGTTCCCTGCACAGAGCTTACCTGATGAAGCTGCACTAAGAGACACACCCATGTTAATAGAGACTCTGCTGACTTCTATCCCTAACCTCTATCCTGATTCCTAATGTGCAGATGGAAGGCCTGGTCTGACAGCCCAGGCCTGGGGGTCCGTTAAATACAAAGACAAAGCAAGGGAAAGTCAAAAAGAATAGGAAGCTTGAAGTCATGGTGAAGAGTGTGACTACACTGAATAGAATTGGCAGGTATTCGGCATCTTTTCTTCAATGTGTCCATTGGAATTTAGGGTTTGAGGTTTAAGCAGGCTCTAGATGTGGAAAGGCACTTGGAGGTTAAGCCAAACTCAAATGCTCTGCATTCAACCAGCTTTAGAACCAAGTTGGCTGAAATTCTAAGCAGCTCCATGAAGCACCCCTTTCAGCTCGTTTCTTCTAGAAATTCAATCCTGGGATTTTGAGAATGAAAACCCAGAGATTAAATGTGGTGCCTTCCCAAAGCTGTCACTTCCTGTATTAAGGGAGGGTTCCTTTGGGAATATCGTGTGGTTTCTGAAAGTTTATCCATACAGAAATGAGTGTAAACAGTCTCACACATGTTCATACAGCCCCACCTCTCAGGCTGATGCTAAGCTGTGTCATACAAAAGGAAAGAAAGGAAAGCTGCCCAATTCTCAGATATTTGGTGATTGAAAGCTGAAACTCAAAGTGTGTGTGTGTGTGAGAGAGAGAGAGAGAGAGAGTGTGTGTGTGTGTGTGTGTGTGTGTGTGTGTGTTATTTCTGTTTAATCCTTTGCCCAAAAAATATTAGAAAGAAGGAAAGAAAGTGAGTGAGTGAGGGGGGGGGGAGAAAATCTGATGCAAGCCTCTGTCCTCTGAAATTCCCTTTTCAAGCTCTACCTTCTCAGCTGTTATATTGATTCTGGTCATACCCTTGTATTTTTCTAGGTTTTTTTTCCCTGCCCTAACATAAATCCCAAATTTTATGAATGCATGCTTGCTCGTTTATGAAGCACTCTGGCTTGAGCCAATTAAAACAACTTGCACAATGGAATATTATTTACTGCTCTGTATGTCAACTTCTGCACCAAGGGTAGTTTTGTTTATCCAAAACGGATGAAAACTATCTCTCAAGATAGCTTCCCTAATAAATACACTTGTTTGTTCATTTCCTTTAAGAAGGCCATAAATGAAAGTCAAGCATAAAACTCAAGAAGGATATTATTGTTAAATATCTGATCATTTTGACCATGGCGATGGCCTTTTCCAGAACATTAGGAGCTGCTACAAAGTTGGGAAGGAAATGGAAAAGTGAGTATCCACTCCATGGGTGGTTTTTAAGGTGATGTTTACCAGACCCTATAGAACAGGACTATGATAAAAGCTTTTGGTCTGCTACTCTTCTGACTGATGTTTTTGGGAAATCTGTGCTGACTAAACATACTTTTATAACCCAAAGTATTTCATGCTACAGTAACTATGCTCATAGAGAGAATAATGCAAATTAATAAAATAGAGAACAAAGTGCAATGAACAACTTGTCAATAGCCCTATATCAGTCAGGATTGTGACTCAATATGGTATGATTATGGACAAATTATATTTCCCTTTCTGAATCTCATTGTGGACTGGAATCTGATTTATTTCATCTACTGAATATGTTTGTACATACAATAAAAATTGTATGATCTTTACATCCATTCTTTAGGGGACTTGAGACATTTACTTATGTCAGAACTGGGTGTGATATAAAAACTGTGATCATGTCACACAAATCAGATAGCTCACAACCACCTGCAATTACAGCTCAGAAATATCTGGTGCCCCCTTCCAGTGCCCCATCTGCCTGACACACATACATGCACATACATGCACAATGATATACCCATACATAAATAAATCCTTCAAGAATACTTGAAAAAAAAATGGTTTGTGTGCTATATATGACATTATACAATTAATACACATTCAAAGCTTGATGCATGTTTCAGTTTTTTAAATTTTATTTAAATTTTACTTTTATTTAAATTTATTGTGTCAAAAGACACAATAGTGTCTTTGGAGTTAACTTGATAGAGGTAATTATAGGAAACAAAAAAACAGCCTTAATCAGGGCATCAAGTCAAAAACTGCTAGTGAATTGGAACAAATAGGAGGGAGAGATCTTCAGCACACAGGAAGTCTCAGAAGGCTGTGCTTGTCAAAGCTATCTACCTTTTTCTTCCACCGACTGTGCCCAGGAATACTTCCTGTGTGCTCCACCTGCTTTTCAAGTCCTAGTGTGGTGTCTATGATTCCAGGAACTTAAGTTCTCCAGACTAACCTCCCCATGGATAGCTTAAACCAGCTCTCAATTCTGTTTTCTTTAGATGAAACGAACACAGCTCCTCAGGTGTTCAAGAGGGTTTAGAATGTCTTCAGGCTGCTTAGAAGTTGTCACCTAACCTGTGCCTACAGTCTGTCTTCAGTGCCACCTCTTACTAAAAACATTAAGTAAGTGCAATTGGAGGTAAAGAGGGGACCCAGACCCCATGTTCCAGGGGGCAAACTAGATGATCTCTTGAGCCAGCTTGGCCACCATTTGATCTTTCCATGCCAACACATGCACACAGAAATATGACAGAAGGGAAAGATTCTCATTACAACTTTCTAGTCCCTGGATCGGGCCTGCATTTTCATAGTTCTAGAAGAAAGATGAAATGGTCTTTGCTCCTGGAAAACTTAAAAGCCTCACAGGAACAGGCCAAAACAGAGCAAGAGCTCCACGAGAGAGCAACTCCCTTCATGAGAGAACTTGGTGATATGTTGTGATCATCAATTTCAGGATCTTAGACTTCTTAAGTTAGAAGAAACTTTCTGGGATGGTTTCCACATCATACTCTCTCTCTCTCTCTCTCTCTCTCTCTCTCTCTCTCTCTCTCTCTGTCCCTGTCTCTCTCTCTGTCTCTCTCTCACACACACACTCAAACACCTAGACACTCACATATCACATACACACACATACACACTCACATATACACACTCATATACACACACACATTCACCCACATACACACTCAGACACATACATACATATATTCACACACACACACACACACACACTCACTCACACACAAACACACACACCCTAAGAACTAGAATTTTCAAAGGCCTCAGTTCTTTTTAGAGCCATGTTAACTATCTGTTCTACTCAGTGACTCAGGATTCTAAAAGACAGTTACTGGCAGGGAAGAAAGCCTAGGCAATTACAATTTTCAGCCAGCACAGCCAACCAGGTTTACCTTCTAGAGTACCAAAACGTGGGCACACTGAAGAAGTGAGTTTATAACAAAAGAATTACCCCCACAAGGGCCAGAGGACTATGTGCATAAATAAGTCTTAAGTACAAAAAGTAACTCCAGGTTGAATGGAAGGAAGCATCTCTTTACTTAGGATTGAGTCTTTCCAGGAAGGCCTCCTCTCCCTCCTCCTAAACTAGGAAATATGCCCTACCAGTGCCTTCTCTGGTTTAAAATTTGTTCATTCCATGACTTTTTCTTTGGGGGAGAAGCCATCATCATTTTTGCGTAGAACAGCCCAGCCAGCTTCCCTGACTCCTGCTCTTCTACCTTGGCCTTCCAAGAGTCTCTGCAAAGGCGTGAGCTAAAGACTGCTCTGAAGAATGAGAAATAGCAGCTTCCATTATTACCTCGTCAGCTGCCCCTCCTTTCCACTCATCTCAAATCTCAAAGCTGTACCACAGAATTAAAAACATAGCTTGAGGCACTGAATGGAGATTTATGAGGAAGCACAGATATTAACTCTTACTCTAAACGCAGGGTGTGTGCTTGTAAGTAACTGGTGAACAAACACAGGGGAGGCGGGAGGGGAGGAGGCAGCAGGAGCAGAACAGCCCAGCCTATTTTCTTCCTGTCTCCTTTTTCCTACCTTACAGTTTTCATTGTTGAAAGGTAGATCTTCTAGCCCCATGAAATGTTAGTCCCTTGCTTATTTAATCTGGACAAA